GGTGCTTCAAGTAGTTATCTAAATGCCCCTTCAATGAGCGTGGTGGAAGACGGGTCCAAAATCGAAATGGCTTTTCCAGAATGTTGACCCTAAATGTGTGGCTGTGGGACAGAGGAATAGAGGGATATTCCCTCATCGCTCTATCTTCAGGGTTGGGGTGGGGGGAGGTGCTTTGGGTTATTATCTTCTTGGCCCGGAGAGGCACCGGGGAGAGTAGAGGACGGGGGCTGGATGTTAAGGGTTGTTACACTCACAATCTCAGGGGCCCACACTTCTGACCTGGACTGATGGAACAGAGATATATGGCGGGGACTCACTACCCTCTGAACCAGTGATCCACCCGCCACCTCCCTGTAAACCCTTTGCATTCACCTCGCATGGTCTCACTCTCCTCGGAAGATGTCACTGAAGCCTGCCTCCACCACACTTTCCAACACGGCATTCCAGGTTCAAAGCTGCTGTGGATCCTATCAGATTCCTTTATTTCTGGGATGCAGGTGTCTCTGGCTGGGCCCAGCATTTATTGCTCATCCCTAGTTGCCCTTGAGAAGGCGGTGGTGAGCTGCCTTCTTCAGCTGTTGCAGTCCTCCTGCTTTGGGTTGACCCACAATGCCATTAGAGAAGGAATTCCAGCATTTTGACCCTAAAGGAATGGCGATATATTTCCAAGTCAGGATGGTGTGTGGCTTGAAGGGGACCTTGCAGGGGGCGGCGTTCCCATATGTCTGCTGCCCTTGTCCTTCTAGATGGAAGTGGCTGTAGGTTAGAAAGGTGCTGTCTGAGGATCTTTGGTGAGTTTCTGCAGTGCATCATGTAGATAGTACACACTGCTGCTCCTGAGCATCGGTGGTGGAGGGAGTGGGTGCTTGTGGATTGAAGTGCCAATCAAGCGGCTGCTTTGTCCTGGATGGTGTCAAGCTTCTTGAGCGTTGATGGGGCTGCACCCATCCAGGGCAAGTGGGGACTATTCCATCACACTCCTGACTTGTGCCTTGTAGATGGTGGACAGGCTTTGGGGAGTCAGGAAGTGAGTTAATTGCCGCAGTATTCTTAACCTCTGAGCTGCTCTTGTAGCCGCTGTGTTTATGTGGTGAGTCCAGTTGAGTTTCTGGTCAATGATAACCCCCAGGATGTTGATAGTGGGGGATTCAGTGATGGTAACATCATTGAATGTCAAGGGGCAGTGATTAGATTCTCTCTTATTTGTGATGGTCATAGTCTGGCATTTGTGTGGCGCGAATGTTACTTGCCACAATGAGGGGTGATCTCATTGAAACGTATAGGATTCTTAATGGGCTTGACAGAGTAAATGCTGAGAGGATGTTTCCCCTCATGAGGGATTCTAGGACCAGTGGGAGTCATCTCAGGATAAAGAGGTGGCAATGAGGAGGACTGAGATGAGGATGAATTTCTTCTCTCACAGGGTTGTGAGCCTTACAACAGAGAGCTGTGGGGGGAGCAGAGTCCTTGTATATATTTAAGGCTGAGATATCAGATTCTTGATCAGCCAGGGAAGCACGGGTTATGGGGAAAGGGCAGGAAAGTAGAAGTGAGGAATCAGCTATGATCCGAATGAATGCCAGATCACTCTCAAGGGGCTGAATGGCCTACTCCTGTTCTTATTTCTTGTGGTCTGGTTATCAAAAATTTGAACGGATTTTAATTTTTAACAAATTTCTCTGAGCCTTCATTTAAAAATAATGAGAGAGTTAGAGAATGTCAGGGGATGGCCTTCGCAATTCGGGGCAGTGACCCACAGCCTTAAAACACACATCCACCCCAATTCCGCTACATCCCTCTCCGCCTCCCTCACCCCCTCATAACATGCAAAATCCAGCCCTACCCTTCCTCTCAGTCTGGCCTGGCCTGGCCCAGAACCCAATGACAGGGACACGGCCAAATTCACCCCACACCCACTTTTAATGCACGGGAGTGGCTGGGTCCAGGCTAACACTCTGGGAAATATGGGTTCAAATCCTGTGTGGCATTTAAACTCGCTTCAAGAAAAGGAAATCTGGAATTTGCTCTTTATTCTGTCTAGAGAAGCCACTATTCCTTACCCACCTCTAACTGCCCTTGAACCTCAGCTGCGTGCGGGGTCAGGTCAGAGGGCATTTGAGAATCCACTGTATGGGACTGGATGTAGGCCGGACGAGTGGGGAGGATCGTTTGCCTCCCTGAGGGGCATTGGTGAGTCAGAAGGGGCTTTTAACACAATCGATGATAGGTTCATGTTACCTTCTGCCCTTGCCCGGCCCAGGTTGTGACTCCCAGCCCACGGCGACATTTCTCTCCCTCTCTCTCCTCCACTGAGTCTGCTGGGCTTCTCCTGTTCTCAGTTCTCATTTCCAACGCTCGCTGTTCTTTGCTGCCTTGTACCCCCCGCTACCAACCCCCTACAGCACTGAGTGACCGAGGCACCTCCCCAAACAAGCCACTCGTTTCAAGGGGGCCAATGAGGGACAGGCCACAAAGGCTGGGCCCAGTCGGTGATGCCCTCAAAAGAATTACTGAAACAAAACGCAATGCAATTGCTGCCCACAACAAAGGCGAGCTGTTTGATCTCAACCCGTAGATCCAGGAGGTGGCGTTTCCCCATTTCCTGACACTCACGGTATTGTTTCTGCCGCTGGCGTCCAGGAGTGACAGGGAGCGTCGGAGGGGCTTCATGCTGCCCGTATTGCAGCCCTCCCGGGCCTGGGGTCCTCCATCCTCCTGCCTCCCACCTGCAGGGTCATCGGGTGGGCTCGCTTGGCCACCCTGGGAGGGGGCGTCTGTTGATTGATCTGCGGTCACCGCAGAACCCTCCTGGTCACTGTCGCTGCGTCGACCCTGAGGTGAGAGAGTGGTACTGGTCAGCGCTGCACCGTTCGCAATCCCAGGGTGTTCCCCAAGAAGTCTCACCCCAACCACTGCACCCTCCCAGTCCACCCCACCCTGCCTGCCCCCACCCAACCCCGCCAACCCAGATTGGGTTGGGAGAGGCAATGGCCGGGTGGTATTATCACCAGACTGTTATTCCAGAGACCCCCAGATAATGTTCTGGGGAAACTGAGACAACAAGGTGTAGAGGTGGGTGAACACAGCAGGCCAAGCAGAATCAGAGGAGCTGGAAAGCTGATATTTCGGGTCTGAACCCTTCTTCAGAAATTCTGGGGACCTGGGTTCGAATCCCGCCACGGCAGATGGTGGAATTTGAATTCAATAAAATATCTGGAATTAAAAATCTAATGATGACTATGAATCCATTGCTGATTGTTGGAAAAACCCATCTGGTTCACTAATGTCCTTTAGGGAAGGAAGCTGCCATCCTTACCTGGTCTGGCCTACATGTGACTCCAGACCCACAGCTATGTGGTTGACTCTTAACTGCCCTCTGGGCAAATAGGGATGGGCAATAAATGCTGCCTAGCCAGCGACACCCTCATCCCATGAACGAATAAAGAAAAAATAAAGGCCTCCATCTGATCCTGCTGCAATCCCGCTCCTCATAGGCCCCACTACTCAATGCTCGGAGAAGGTTAGGAATCCCTGACGTTCTGATGCTCTCACCAAGGAATAGGGGTAAAGGACAATCTCGCTCTCCCTCGGGAAGGTCAGGGAGACTGCCAGTAACTGTAACTCAGAGAATGTGTCTCCTCACTCCGTCTCCCAAGAGCTCGCGCCTACCGGGGTAACTCACTCACATCCCGTTGTTCATTAAGGCATTGACCATGGCCTGGTACAACATCTACAGGAGACAGGATTGTTACCAGGGAGGCTGGGCAGCGTTCTGAGAGCTTACTCAGATCAGGCAGTCCTAGACTCAAGATTATCTCCATGTGTAAATAAAGAGTGTCTTGGTGACAGGATACCAGCCTCTGTGCAGTTATTTCAACATCTGCATGGCTCCCCCCTCCAAAAATTCCACTTACCATGTCCGGACCACAAAATGTAGAGGTTGAAGTATGCCATTCAGCCCATCAAGTCTATTCTGCCATTCAATGAAAAGTGGCTGTTCTAATAACACACAACTCCACTTTCCTGCCTTTTCCCCACATCCTAGATTACCCGACTGAGTAAAAATCTCTCTATCTCTGCCTGGAATATACCTAATAACCCAGCTTCAAAAACTATAGAATCCCTACAGTGCAGAAATAGGCCACTCAGTCTATCGAGTCCATACTGACCCTCTGAAGAGCATCCCACTCAAACCCAGCTCCCCCACCCTTCACATGGCTAATCCAACAAACCTACACATCCCAATTTAGCATGGCCAATCCACCTGACCTGCACCGTTTTGGATGTAGGAGGAAACTGGAGCACCCGGAGGAAACCCACGCAGACACGGGGAGAATGTGCAAACTCCACACAGACAGTTGCCTGAGGTTGGAATCGAACCCGGGTCCCTGGCGCTGTGAGGCAGTAGTGCTAACCACTGAGTCACCATTTCATCCTCTAGTCTAAAGAATTCCACAGATTCACTATTCTCTGAGAGAAGAAATTCCTCCTCATGTCTGTCTTAAATTCCTATTCTGAGATGATGCACTCGAGTCCCAGACTCTCCCATAAGGGGAAATGATCTTTCCACATTTACCCTGTCAAGTCCCTTAAGAATTTTGGGTGCTTCGGTAAGTCCACCTCACATTCTTCTAAATCCCAGGACAAATCTAGTCAACCTCTCCCTGTAAGACTTTCTCTCCATTCCTGGACAGTCAAGTGAACCTTCTCTGGGATGTCTCCAATGCCAGAATACCTGTCTTAGATAAGGGGCTCAAAACTGTTATAACATACTGTCAAAAATATTCCAGTTGTGGTCTGAGCAGGGACTGGTATAGTTTTAGCAAAACCTCCCTACTTTTATACTCATTCCCTTTGAAATAAAGGCCAGAATTCCATTTGCCTTCCCTATTGCCCACTAGACTTGGAGGCTACTTTTTTATGATTCATGGATGAGGATTCCCAAATGTGGCCTTCTGTGGTCTTTCTCCATTTAAAAAGGATTTAGCTCCTCAATTCTTCCCACTGGAGCGCAGCATCAGACATTATCACGCATTATTTTCCATCTGCACAGTTATGCTTAACCTGTCTGTAATTAACCTTCCCACCTATTTTAGTATCAGCCACAGAGGCTGGTTTTAAAACTCCCATCCCCTCCCAACTCAGGGACAACGATGTCCAGATGTCGGAGGAGAGGAGCTGTATGTGGAAAGAGGAGGGGAGTGAGGGGAAGGTGTCGGGGAGGAGAGAGGGGAACTCACCAGGCAGGGCTCTGTGGGGCACTCGGATCCTGAGCAAGTTGGCACAGGCGGTGTTACATTCTGACTGACTCCGTCTGCGTTTCCGCCCCTCATCCCGACGGAGATGGTGTCCGTGTGTTCGGCAGCGAGCTCCGAGTGATCGAGCAGCCCTTCTCCTCTGGCCGCTTCCGTGGGATCTTCCTGCGGGGGCTCAGAGCGGCTGCCTGGGCAGGCTGGGTCACTGAGCTGGGCTACGGCCGTCCGCCTCTCCCCCCCTGTGTCCGCCGTGTCTACTGCATCCATTCTCCTCTCTGTCTGTCTCCCTGTCTCTCCACTCCCAGTTTCTCACACTGCAACACAGAGAGAGAGGGTTAACAGGGCTGCCATTAACATTTCACTTCAATTACACGCTACAAATACCGCACAATCCCTACAACAGGCAGTCACAACACAAATGCAGCTATTGTGAGAGACACAGCAAGCTCACACTAACAGAAGTTGAACAGTAACCAGACAGCCCGTTTCCAAAAATTTGGTTGAGCATCCACGGAATCACTTTTGTCAGTTTGTCTGAAGTACTGGCACAGAAAAACACGTTGGCACCTGAGTGACAGAGGGGATTGGGTCAATGCTTCATCTGAAAGACAGCACTTCACAGTGCAGCGTTCCCTCCGTACTGACCCTCTAACAGTGCGGCACTCCCTCAGTACCGACCCTCTGACAGTGCGGCACTCCTTCAGTACTGACCCTCTGACAGTGCGGCACTCCCTCAGTACTGACCCTCTGACAGTGCGGCACTCCCTCAGTACTGACCCTCTGACAGTGCTGCATTCCCTCAGTACTGACCCTCTGACAGTGCGGCACTCCCTCAGTACTGACTCACTGACAGTGCAGCACTCCCTCAGTACTGACCCTCTGACAGTGCAGCGCTGTGGTCATCAACCACGAGTTAAAAACAGAAAATGCTCGGCCTGGGAAGCATCTGTTGCAACGTCTGTGTGGAGCGTGGCAGTGTTATCGTTTCAGTGCAGTGATGCTTTTTCTCGTGTGAGCGAGTGAAAATGTGTTCAGTGTCTGTGGACATTTCAGACCTCCGACATAAATAGAAACATTCTTTGTGTGGTGAGTCGGATCCTGTACTTGAATGTCTGCAGTGACTCTCTCAGCCACGTCTACTGACTCAGCATCACGAGTGTTGGCCCCTGAGCCAGCAAAGCTTCAAACCACAGTCTAGTCTGAGTCAGATGTTAGCTTCAGGCCCTCAAACTCTGCCTGGCCTGTGGAAAAAGGCTACATTGCTGCCTTGGACAAGTTTTGGCAGCACCTCTTTGCCATGCGGCTGGGCATCCACTTCCCGGGAGATTCACAAAGGGGCAGCCAACAAGGCCTAAAGGAACTGGGAGAACAGGATGAGGACATTCAGCCCCTCTAGTTTATTGTATCATTCAGTGGGATCGTACTCAATCTGCATCTGAAAGCCATCCTTGTGCCTTGACCTGCAGGTTCCTTCACGTCACAACTAATTAAAATTACCCCTGACTGAAATATTAGTGACTGCTCCTTTTCTCTGAGGGACAAATTGCACAAGTCTTCCACCAAGGATCCGACTCTGACCCTCTCTGAAGAATGTCTCTAATTTTACATAACGTTCCTCGCATTCCCAGAAACCGCGTTCAGTTTAACCATCTCTACCTCACACATGACGATGCCGTCAACACCGGACGAGCAGAGCGATGCTTTGGAGTTTTACCTTCTCCCAGCGGCCATCAGTTCTGGAGGCGGTTCGCTGCACCCAAAACTTTAACACTGAATTTTCTTTGCAGATGCTGGCAGACCCGCTGAGTTTTCCCCAGCAGTTTCTGGTTTTGTTATTCATGTTGTTGGTTTGGCTGGTTGTGCGAGGCACAGCTACTGCGGCAACATTCAACCAGAGCCCGGTGCTGAGCCCTAGTTAGGGCCGAGTGTCAACTCTCCAAATCTATACTGGCTGCTGGGGTTTGGGGGCTGTTTTCAATGTTTCTGTGCGCATACTTTGGAGACCTTATGAAATGTCTAGTCTCAGAGCAGTCTTTTTAATCCTCAGCGCCAACAGTGTTACAATGAAGGAGGTGTTCAAAGATTATTTTTAACTGTAGTATTATTTTCTAATGGTCATTCCAAGCTGCTTCACTTTACTTGATCAGCCCGGGAGATGAGTCTAAGACAGTTCTGGAGGGTTAACTATCCTGAGAAGCATAAACCACACAGCATGGCATCACAACATCTACCACCTCACTGTGGCAAGCACATGGCATTGGTCAGGTGGGACACTAAGCAGTGTCTGCTTGTGCACTTCCAGTTACTGCCCTGCACTGACAACCCAAATTACCTGAAACATTCAAGCAGAGTGACAAACAAAGGTGTTACTGAAAACAAAGATCCAAAACGATCAGTTTGGCCCAGACACAGGAAGTCACAGGCACTGTTTACAGCTTGTTGAGAAATCGGGGAAATGTGTGGTGAGATGTGTTTAGTAGATAGCTCATTGTGACTATTGACAGCAACATACCTTTAGTACTCAGAGGGCACAGTGACTGGGTACAGAAACACACTGTCAGTACTCAGAGGGCACAGTGACTGGGTACAGAAACGTTCCTTCAG